CTTTTCTTTGGACTTCTGTATTTGTATTGGTCTAAGGGAGTCATTGGACAAAGCTTGCAGGAGCAGGACGGCGTGTGCAACGCTGAGGGATGCTATTCTATTCATCTCCAGCGCAAGAACTTCAGGGAGTCCTGGAGGAGCTGCAAGGATAAAGGGGGGAACCTGGCTACCATTAAAGGACCAGAAGAAGCTTCCATGATCCATGACCTCTTATCGTCAGGGGTCAGACGTGGCTCCCGGCCCAGAATCAGGTTGTGGATTGGCCTTCAGCGACAGCCTCGGCAGTGCTCGGCCACGCGCCCTTTGAGGGGCTTCACCTGGATCACTGGGGATCAGGAAACACAGTATACGAACTGGCAACGTGGTGACTTAGCCAGTGCTTGTGCTGCTCATCGTTGTGTGGTCATTACCTACAACACAGCTGACAAAAGTGGCAACGACAAGAACAACTTCAAATGGCTCGATGGATCTTGTGCAGTAGCCGTGGAAGGTTTCCTCTGCCGCTACACCTACCAAGGGATGTGCCCAGCTCTTCAAAAAGAAGGAGGGGGTCCTGCACTCTACACCACCCCATTTGAACTGGCAAGTACTGTTCTTACTCACATCCCTTTCGGCTCTGTGGCAACTCTTCCTTGTCCCGACGGCGACAAGGATGACCAGTCAGTACTGTGTATGCTGAGAGAGGATGGAAGTGTTGGCTGGTCGAAGGATACACCGCTCTGCACTGACACTCCGATGGACTGGTGCGAACAGGACAATGGTGGCTGCGAGCACTACTGTGTGAACTCAGATACACATTACTACTGTGAGTGCTCTGAGAATTATGTTCTGGAAGAAGACGGAAAGACCTGCCAGCTCTCGGATCCCTGCCACAGCGCCAACTGCGAGTTTGAGTGCGAGTCCACTCTTCAGGGACATCGCTGCAAGTGCCCAGAGGGGTACCTCCTGTCTGGTGATGGTCAGAGTTGTCTTGATATAGACGAGTGCTTGCAAAAACCATGCCCGCAGGAATGCGTCAATGCACCAGGTACATTCGAGTGTAGATGCAACGAGGGCTACCTTCCGTCTGAGTTCGGAGAATGTGTGGATGTGGATGAATGCATGGAAGGAAAGTGCGTTCATATTTGTGAGAACTTGCCTGGTTCCTACACGTGCCGCTGTCATGACGGATTCTCTCCACTCGGAGAAGATTCAGAGCAATGCGAAGATATCGATGAGTGTAAAACTCCAGACATTTGCAATCAGGTGTGCAGAAATTACGAAGGTGGATTTGAGTGTCTTTGTAAGGAGGGTTATATGTTGCAAGAGGACAACTACTACTGTCGGCCAGTCGACGAGAATGAACACTTGATGATGGAATCAGCTGATGCAACACTAAATGATCCCGGCTTGCCTGAACTGATGACAGATGCCAGCCTTCTGGAGTCACTAACAGATTCCCCAAGCGTAGAGTGGCATCCGACTTACCTGAGCTGGTTTACAGAGAAGACAGAGGAAGGAGATGTGACCACACAGCCTGATTTAATTGAATATGCATCTTCAAACTCACCTTCATCAAACTTTTTGATGGATACTACAACTTCAGCTGATTCACATCAAGAGGATGCACTTGAAGAGGAAATATCAATAGCAACAGGTGATACAGTGGATGTAAGGACTTCAGGAAACAAAGGACCCTCAGAGGTTTCGACATCTGTGCCTAACAGAAAATGGGATTTTGTCATGCTCACTCCTGCAACATCACAAATACCAGAAGATACATTGGCATCAGGAATAGAACAGCGTCCAGGTGACAGGAAGAAACACGACAAAAGCTGGCTGCTTGTGGCACTGTTGGTACCACTATGTGTTTTTATAGTGGTCATGTTAGCGTTAGGCATTGTTTATTGCACAAGTTGTGCTGTAGAGCCACGGAGCAAAAGCGTCACAGACTGTTACCGCTGGACCACAACCTCCAAGCCTGAAAAATCAAGCACAGCAAAATCTCGAGCTTGAGTAATGTACAGTTAACATGACTTTTTTTTTTTATAAAATAAAAATTAGCAATGACCCTAGACTTCGTCGAGCTGTTTTGGTGTGATCACACCGATGTCACTTTGGTATTCTGTAGGATCCTGTGGTACATAAGGGCAAAATAGTCACTAGGTGCACAATTTAACATTCAGACATTCTTTTCAGACAATGGAGAGAACATCAACAATTATTTTTCAATGGAAGTGAAGCAGTAACCCCCAATCTGTAGAAGAGACATTTTGTGGAAAGTGGGACAATGCAAACACAATTTAGCATGCATCCCTTTTTCATATTATACAATGAATGAGAATTGTTATGAAGCCTACAAGTAGAAATAAAAAAAAAAACATGAGATATCAACAGCTTAAATTTATTTGTTTAAATTTAAATTGATTTTTATAAGACATTTACACATGAAACAGATCTGAGTGCATCAGTTTAACTAACAGTTACTATCACTTCATATTATTTAGTAAAAGTTGTTTGACTAATGGTGACTATAACGTTGTGGAATTTGCATCAGATATACAGTAATACTGGAGATGCCCATGTTACATTTATTTGAGTATTTTCACCAGAATTATGATAAGAGAAAAAGAATGTCACAGAAAAACAGATCAGTAATAGACTAGTCATGAGCATACAGAAACAGTTCAGACACAAAACACTTTTGGCCTCAGTGAAATAGAAAACGAAAGTAAATAAAAGAATAAAAAGTATGGCAACAAGTTTATTTTTTAGTTGATATTATTCCATAATAGTATATAACACATCAACAACCATTTGTTTCAGCAAGCAATTTACGTTTTTCACTGTATCCCACGAAAGTGTTAACTACTGATATTCAAATAAATGTCACTTGCTGTCACAAATAAAATTTGATCAACACTTTCAGCATTCGAGTTCACAATCGCGCCTGCTCTGACAGTGATAGCAGTGAGGAGATTGACAGCTGGCTTGGCCGTTTTGTGTTGTACTGGCACAGTCCCACCAGCAGTTGTCACTATATGATATTTTGAGTTTTTCTTCTACAAACTAACGTGATTTTAATAAAAGACACACTTGCACTACGTTATAGTATTTTTCCTAATCTGATTTTTTTTTCTCTGTGACTTTCACCAAAATATTATTGTTTCAACCTTTGAAATATTGTAAAAGTGCTATGAGCCATTTTGGAGTCTACTGGAGCAACAAAAGCATAAAACAGTCAATTTGTTTACTGCATTGGGATTGTTGACGTCATATGTGGAGTGAGTAAGATCATTATCATATAATGACTGACAGGATCAGTTGAAATATTTGTCTGAATGTATTTAAAACACATGTTATTAACAGCTACATAATGTACTGTATTTCTGTCTACATGTGGTCTGTGGAGGCTGATCCATCAAGGAATTGTTTTAGATTGAGTGGCAGCAGACATCAGCAATCCTTCAAACTCTTTAGAAAAGAAACATAAGAAACACCTAACAGTATAAACGAACTGAAATGACTCGGTTTGCATTTTAAAAACTGGACATTTTTACAATAAATTACAGTGAATGGACAGTATTCAATATTTTCCTTTTTTACAGGTCTTTCTAAATGTAGCAGTAAAATTAAGGGGCTTTTGTTAAACAGTGGGACAAATGAAAAACATGTTTCACGACGAGGATGGGATTCGAACCCACGCGTGCAGAGCACAATGGATTAGCAGTCCATCGCCTTAACCACTCGGCCACCTCGTCATATAGATCAAGCACTTTTTGTTCAAATCTATAAAAATTACGTATTTATGGTATATCAGCCAATTTCACATCTTTGGACGCAAGTAATAAAACCTTAACTTACTAAGTAGTTGTTGAAGCACTTTTGTCTCCGTGATATTTTGCTAAATAGGTATCACACAACTGTTAGTGTCATTGACTTAATTTACCTGACAGAGATAGCGCGTACACTGCTTTATTTTGTACGTAAGCTAATAGATGAAGTTGACAAAATGTGCGGAAACATATTTTTACTTGACATTCGCGATGCCGTAGTCACCTGCTGCCCTCTGCTGGTCAGCCAGACTACTGGCCACATTGATTTATATAATAGGCAGCACATTTATATAATAGTATATAAAGATATATACGGTAATAGTGACAATTGCAAATTGGCTGTCGTTATTTGTTTTTATAAAGTTTTGTACACAAATGTGCATTTCTGACTACTTCATTAGCTGTTTTTTTTAAGCATTACAGTCTTATCGGGACACTCATGTTTGCTACCAGTTTCATTGTGTAATATTTGTCATGTTTTCATACTTTTAGTAACGTGTAGCTGAACAATGTAACAGTAATAATGATAACTCCGTCCTTCGGATGAGACGTTAAACCGAGGTCCTGACTCTCTGTGGTCATTAAAAATCCCAGGATGTCTTTCGAAAAGAGTAGAGGTGTGACTTCGGCATCCTGGCCAAATGTGCCCATTGGCCTCTGATCATCATGGCCTCCTAACAATCCCCATATCTGCTGATTGGCTTCATCACTCTGTCTCCTCTCCACCAATAAGCTGGTGTGTGGTGGGCGTTCTGGCGCACTATGGCTGCCGTCGCATCATCCAGGTGGATGCTGCACACTGGTGGTGGATGAGGAGATACCCCCTGACAATGTAAAGCGCTTTGAGTGCCTAGAAAAGCACTATATAAATGTAATGAATTATTATTATTATTATAACGTTACCTAAATGATAACTACCGTAAATTTACTTTGGCATCATCTATCTACAATTTTAATATTTCCGTCCACAGCTACGATTACTTACCATTTGAATCTTGGGAGATTTGCATAATTTAAAGGTCTGAAAGGTTGTCCTGCATCATGTTTACAAGATAAAGTACAGGAAACGGCTCATAACAGGCAGATCCATAAAACTCAGCACGCTGTAAACGCCAACCAATGAAACAGAGGCTTTTGTGGACGTGGCCAATCACACGGTGAATTTCCTAGAGCCCCTCCCCCGCGTCGCTGACCATGTGAAGACTTGCCGCGAATTTCAAGCAGTTCAAACTGTTTTAGCGCGCACGGAAGCATTAAGCTGGTCTTAGAGACTTAAAAAAGATATATAATACAGTGGCTTGTTTATTTATTTGATACAATAATGGCTACTCCTCCGAAGAAGTTTTGTTCAAGCCTCGACGTTGACCTCAGTTTCGAAAAAAGGGCATTGAAGATCTCAATAGAGGGAAACATTGGTAAGTTTAACTAATTTTGGTTTAATCAACAAAATTATATACATAAAATAAAACGCACTTAATACATTACGTAAGTGTTGTTAACAGCTTAGTTTTTATGATCGAGCTTGAGAGCGTTCTTGTATTGTTAAAGCTGCAGTCCGTAACTTTTTTTGGTTAAAAATTATCCAAAATCAATATTTGAGCAAGTACATAACCAGCCAGTGTTCAAAACTATCGCCTTACTTTAGCCCGATTCACAACGTTTAGCCAGATTCGGTTAGCTTATTGTAATGTTTTCTAATTTGAGTGGTAACGGTAGGTTTACGCGGAAAATTCGAGCATTCTGCTGCGTCATCACGTCACTTCTGTAAACATGAAGTTGTCCCGCTGTTCTGTCGATTTGTGCTACTCTGTCAGATTTTGCTACCTCCCATTAAGAAGTTGTCCCGCTGTTCTGTCGATTTGTGCTACTCTGTCAGATTTTGCTACCTCCCATTAAACCAGTAGGTAGTACAATTCGACAACGAAAAATGCTGCCTGTCAAATTATGGTTTATTAATGTCTACACCTACCACAACCCTAAACCTACCCTTACAGTAATGCAAATATAGTAATCATGTGTTATATTCGTGGTTGTGGATAGAAGGGATACAGCTACCGGAAACCAACAATAAATTTTTTTTCTACCTATTAGATTGTGTTTTATTAACGTCTACACCTACCCAACCCTAAACCTACCCTTACAGTAATGCAGATACATTAAAAATTGTTGTTCAGCATGAGAAAAATGACGCAAAATTGGTAAACCCTGGTAGGAAAATCTGACGGGTAGGATAAAATGTCAGGACACCGGCTACTAGGCTATCGCATGTGAGGATGCTGCAGGTGGCAGATCGTTAGCCTTTTCTCACAGCAGCTAGAATAATTAAATGTCAAAAAATCTTTTTTATGGCGGATTGTAATCCAGAAAGGATTATATGAAACACATGTGAATGAAATTAAATTATATTCCAGTTTTAAATGTGCTTCTGATTACAGATAGCCTGGGATTACACAAGATTTGTATTTTAAAGACAACCAGTTCGAAGGGAGCATAGTTTGCTTTTTGGGTTAAAAGAATTTCTTGGTGTGAAATTCGAATTGTATGACAATTAGAGATAAGACTGTACAGAAATTGAAATCTACACACACTATACTCATAGTCACGCAATGCTGATGTGGTTAACATTAATAGTCTGAGAATAAAGTATAACAATAATAATAATAATTTGCACGGTTTGATGTGATATGAGCTAATCGATCGTTAGATTACATCACCTTTGGTAGCACGATTTATTGTAATGCTTTTTTCCTCAGTTGGTCAGAACAAACGTGGCAGACTTGTTACTTACTTGTTCAGATGACAATATACGGTGAAAATGCTTATTTG